GCCGGGGGCCCGCCCGGGGCGGGCGGGGATGGCGCTTCCTCCGCCCCAGCTGCTTCTCGTTGCATCCTTGGCAGGACTCCTGGCCCCTGGTGAGGTAAGGCAACCCTCTGGGGAGAAGGCGTCGCCCGGGACCTCAAAGTTATTTGCCTAAAGTTCGTCCTGGAAGAAATGGTGCCCGGTGAGGGTGCTAGGAGTCCGCTCCTGCGGGCTGGGCCTGGGGAGCAAGAGGGCAGGGCCTCGCCGAGCCTCTCGCCCAGCCCAGCCGGCTTTGCTTCTTGAACCTACAGGTGGTAGCTGAACTGGTGGAGGCGGCGGCTGGAGCCCATTGCCCCGAGGGCCCGTGGCCTCTGCCCCCACAGGTAGGAGCCTGGAGGGCGTCGATGGAGAGGGGATGGAGGCTTCCCCCCACAGTCATGCTCTGCGGACCTGGGTTTCCTAGTCTCCATCACAGCTCCGCTTGGGGCCTGCTGTGTCTTCTGACCATGTTCCACACCATGTCCACTGATTGCTCTAAGCTCCCTTCTTTCTCCATATATAGGTGTCACCGAGAGTGACCTACACAAGGATGAGCCTAGAGATGGTAAGTTATGGTTGCACCAAAAAAAGAGCACTCCTGGCAGGCTTTGCCTACTGTTTCAGCTCATCATCTCCATCCCTTAAGGCTTCCCTCGGAAAGAGGCAATCCTCCTCCTCCTGGGCCTGCTACCTCAACCCCCCAGCCAAGAACAGTGTGCCACACACCACTGCCCTCTGCACTGCTGGAAAGAACTGTTGAGTAGCTGACTGTGTGGGCAGGAGGCCGCAAGGGAACAGGGGAGATAGTAGCAAAAACCCCACACCGACAGGCCATTGAGGGGGGTGGGGGCGAGTGTGGAGTGGTGTCTCCTGATGTCTCTGGACCACAGTGCTCTGTCAGAGAAGATGTTAGTACTTATCCAAAGGAGTAAGCAGTAGTGTGTGACAGCACTTTAGAAGTATGAAGTTGTGTCATGTAAGGAGTGTGCCTCCATTTACCAGGCCTTAGACTGGGTTTCCTTGTATGGCTGCCTATTTGTTTTTTGGTTTTCCTTTTGAAATATAAAAAATTTTTGATGCTTATGATAGCTCTGAGCCGAGACCGTGAGCCACCTACCTGATTCCTTTCCTCAAACAGCCCTTCCACTGTTCAGAAAATAAGACTTCCCTTATTTCCGTAAGGGAAGTCATGCTCCCTTCCCCGATTTTTCAGGCTCTGCCAAGTTAACTAAGCCTCAGCTTACCTTTTTGAATCTTTGGTTCCTCTGTAGTCGTGTCATCACACACCTAAGTGTCAGGCCTATTCCCACTGTGGAATCTTTGCTGCTGCTTATTCTCCTCTACTTCTGAACCATCCTGACCTAAAGCAGGCAGCCCCTGGCCCTCTCTCTCTGTCCACTTGCTATGCCCAGAGTAGGAGCTAGTGCTTTTTTGAGACCTGCCTGATCCTGTCAGCCCTTATAACTTAAATCACACTTAACAACTAATCACTTGGGGTTTTATTGGTTTGTTCTTTCATTTACACTAGTTCTTTTTCCATGAATTTCCTTTACATTCCCTGCAAGCAGAGTCCAGGAGTACTCTTTTGGCATCTCCTACAGCATCTGGCACAGTGCTGAGCATCAGGTCAACTTCATGAAAGGGTAATTAATAATTGATGAAGTGTTTCCACCTGGGGCTGTATGCTCGCTGCCTGCTTGTTTTGTATTTGGGTGCTTTGGAGAGAGTGAATATATAGATAGGATCAATAAATAGAAGACCTGATCTCCATTTGGGGGATGCTTACTATCTAAACTGGCCAGTGGAGTCATTGTTGCAGGTGAGAGGAATACAGCTAAAGAGAATGACAAGTTTTATGGGGGATAACTAGACACGTGGTCTTGGAGACTGTGAGCTCCGAGGTGCCACTGGACAGGAGAGGAGAGGTGGAAGGAGTCAGGGGAGAGGCAGTACTCGCCAGAACCCAGGGCCCTGTGTCCTCTCCTGAGCCCTGAAGATGGAGGGATCCTTTGGCCATCTTGGGAGTTCCGTTAAGCTGGGCTCCAGGATGGGAGCTTTTAGGATTCTTAGGGAGACAACTGACCTGGGCTTGGTGTTTCTCTGCCTTTCCTCCAGGCTGAGAATGCCAGCTTCCTCTACCACCCTTGTGCCCACCCCTGGCTAAAACTCCAGCTTGCTCTCTTGGCCCACGTTTTTGTGTCCCAGCCCTCACTGACCCCCAACTCCAGCCTCAGTCAGGATCGGGTAAGTGGCTGATGCAAGAAGGCTGGCACTGACAGAGGTTGCAGCCCCATCTGCAGGGAAAGGGAAATTCAGGGCCTTTCTTATTGTTCCCCACCTTCACCTTAACTTGAACAGTTACTTCCTTTCATAGCCCCTGATGCTGGCAGCATGGGGGGTAGCGTTGGAGATGGCATGGGTAGAGCCAGCTCGGGTTGCCCATTGGCTGAAGAGGCGGTGGAGGAAGGAGGCATGGTCCCACTCTGACAGCCCTTCTGGGGCCTCTCGCCTGGTATCAACCCGGAGCAGAAGGAAGCTGTGCGGAAGAGGGTGTGTGCAGGTGAGGGGTGCTGGGCCCAGGTTTGGTTGGTGATGGGAATCGCTGAGTTACCTGGTTGGGGAGAGGGTGACTATTGTCTCTTTTTCCCTTTAGGTCACAGCTTTGGCTTTTACTTTGCGGAGCTGGCGACCCCCAGGCACAGAGGTGGCTTCTAGAAGGCCCTGGCAGCTCTTCCCTGGTGGTGCCAAGAGGCGTGGGCTGCGGGCTGCCCTTGGTTTCCAGCCCACCCCATCAGCCTTGAGGGCCCCCTCTGCTCCTCCCCAGAGTTTGGAGGACAAGCAGCCTATGTTGGGAGCCCCAGGTGAAAGGGGTAGTAATGTCCCATTGGTGCCCACTGCCTCCCCGCTGCCTCGGGGACCTACAGGCAGTGCCAGTTTCAGGACAGAGACTCAAGTTCCCAAAGGGCAGAGCGGCTCTGGGGGCTGTGCCTGTCCAAGTCAGTCTCCCCCCGCCCCTCGGGCAGCTGCGCCTCCCCGGGCAGCCGGGGGCCCCACCCCACGCACAGAAGAGGCAGCCTGGGCTGCCATGGCCCTGACCTTTCTGTTGGTGCTGCTCACCCTGGCCACGCTCTGCACAAGGCTACACCGAAACTTCCGACGTGGGGAGAGCATCTACTGGGGACCCACAGCGGACAGTCAGGACACAGTGGCTGGTAAGAAGTTCCTGCCACCCCTACAACCCCAGCATTCTTGCCTCCCTGCCCACCTCCGTGGCTTCTCTATCCTTGACTGCCCCACCCCTGCCCACAGCTGTGCTGAAAAGGAGGCTGCTGTTGCCCCCGCGCAGGGTCAAGCGCCCCCGCGGGAAACCCCTCCTCCTGCCCACGCCAGATAGCGGCCCGGATGGGGACAGCTCCGACTGACCTGCCCAGCCTGCCACTGTGGCAGGCTTAGCTCCTCCCCCGCGGGGCCGCGACCTCTGCCACGTGGACTGCGCGCGGGGCCGCCCCCTGGTGGCCAAAACGAGCGTTGCCAAGACGTAGATCCTTAAAAGTGGGGTTTGCCGGGAGGGGTGGTCAAGGGGAGGGCACCAGGCCGCCCCAGCCTCCCTCGCCAAAATTCCCGTTACTTCTGATTAAATTATTTTAGTAGACCCTGGCGTTGAGCTTCTGCATCTGCCACACAACCACACTCTCTCCCAGGGCACTGCTCTAGGCCATTTAGGTTGTTTCCAAGTAGGGGGGTTTATACAAACTAGTTGGCAGCCTTCCAGCAGGGCAGGTTCGAGGAGTGTGCTAGAACGTTTCAGCCACCCACCGTGGTACGTGGTGTCGTCAGTGAAGCGCTCCCTTCCCAGCTCCTTTCCTTAAAGGCAGCCGTGGCAGCCTTCACTTGCTTCCTCCCTTTCAGATCTGGCACTTCCCCACTACCCCTCCGTTTTCTAAGCAGCAGAAACAACACATGGTCACTTATTTATTTTTGATACAAATGTACATGACACACGGTTTTTGACAGCCCACCCACCACCACAGGAAGAACCTGGCCCCTCAGGCCAGAGGCTGGACAGGAGAAGAGCTGGTGGGCGCTGCCATCTGCCTCTCCAGCCTTCTCAGGCTGCAGCCCAGGTTCCAGGTACCCAGACACCGCAGACACAGGTGCTGGCATCTCAGAGGTTTTAGCTGAGTCAGGGACCCGGGGAGCCAGCCCCAGGCTCAGGGGCTCAGCGCTCTACCCCAGCCAGCACACTTGTCCCCCTCCACAGGGAGGGGATGAGATGGAGGGAAGTGGTTTTCCTTTTTAAGTTCATAGATAAGGGGTATGAGTGGGGGGATCTAAGGGGAGTGATGAGGGGAGGCAAAGGGCAGACCGCTGATTGCCCCGGTGGTCCCTGGCCCCAGGGTGGGGTAGAGGGGGGCTGCCCCCCAATGCTGGTCCCGCTGCTCTGGTCCCCTCACAAAGCTCCAGATGGGCCAGACCTCCAGAACGGCACTGCCGTCCCGCACACTCACACGCAGGCACACTCAGTTACCACAATGTTAAAATTAAGGGGTGAAAGAGAGAGGAAAAAAAAAAAAGATTTTCCAGTGTTTGCTGCTGGGGACCCCGGGAACACAGGTTGGGGCCTGTGCCCTAGGCAGGGGCCGTTTGGCATTAAAGGAGAGCAGCAGGGGGCTGGTGGCTACAGGGCAGGGACATCCACAGAGATTATGTACAAAGGGGGATGCCCCCGCTCAGCCCCCAGTAGGGCTGAACTGGCTCATGGGGGGTGGGGTGCATGTAGGGGGAATTGCCCCTCTTGGAGTGTCCCCACTTGACCCTTTGCTGAGGGTGGCCTGGAGGGCAAGGGGCTGGGAGTGATGCCTTTCAGGCCCTTGCTCGCTAGGAGGGGGAGGGGAGATGCTATGTACAGGGAGGAAGTGCATGGAATGTGGGGGACAGAAGCTCCTGCCATTCCGCCTCCCCATACCTGGGGAGGCGGGCGACACCAGGGCGCCTGGCTGCCAGGGTGAGTGGCAACACTAAGGGCACTTGCGCCAGCGGCTCTGTTGGGGTGGGGATTAGTGTCTGGAGTGGCCCAGCTCCCATGGCCAGTGAGGTCTCAGGGTGGGGGCGAGGGCACAGGGAGAGTGGTCATTGCTTCTTCTCTCGGGTGGTGATAGTCACCAGCTGCTTGGCGGCCTTGGCGATGTCGTAGGCGCACTGGATCACCTGCTGAGTCAGCAGCTGGAAGTCCACAGGGGCGCCAGGCTCTGGGGGCACTGTCTTCCGGCACTCACTCTGCAGCCGGTAGGCGCTGGCGTTGAGGAGCCGCAGCGAGCTGCGCACAGGCTCCAAGGCAGGCCTCTGCGGGGTGGGGGGGACAGGGACCTGGACTTCAACTGGACTTCAAGCCATGAGCTGTGAGCGTGTACCCGCGTGCTCCACCCCTCACCCAGCAGTGGTCAGATTCTCTGCACCTGCCCCACCCTGAGGCCCTCCCAACCCTGCTCCTCTCTATTCCCTTTACCTTTGGGAAGAGAGAGGCCATCTCAGTCACAGCCAAATGGATCTTCTCTGAGCAGGGCACAAAGCTGTGGGGGTAGGGGAAAGAATAAATTAGCATTAGCAGGGACTCTCAAGGACAATTCCCAGAGACAGTGGCATTCTGGCCCTTCTCTTGCCCTCTGCATCACGGCAGCACCTCACAGGAAACCTGCGCCCCAGCCCCGTACCTGTCGTGCTTGAATTCTTGGGCAGCCCTCAACAATTCCTGAATGTTCTTCGTGACCTGTTCAGTCTTCAGGATGACATCCTCTGTGCTGGGAAGCCCGGGGTCGAGGTCTCCATCAAGGCTTTCCAACTCTGGGTGGAAGTCCTCCTCTTTGCCCAGCTCTAGAAACCTCTTCCCTTCCAGTCTGAAGCCCCAGGTTAGAAAAAGAAAACATTCCAGCCGTGAGGGTGCTTGCCTATCTGTGCCTGGTGGAGGTGGGCTCACCTCAGGGAGGGAGCTGGATCCCTACGATTGGATTTAGATTGGATTTACCCTCCATCTGAGACACCCCAGGCTGCTCCCTTAGCCAGGGCAGGGGGCAGTGTATGTTGGATTCAGGGGTGCCCAGGGGAGTTCTCAGGGGAAGGTTGGGACATCCCCCAAAGGCTGTTCACTGAATGCTCAAAAGAACAGCCACCATGGGCTGGCTCAACCTCTGTCCCCCAGGGTGCCTCACCCAAGCAGCGGGTCCCCACTTTGCGTGTTCTCGTAGTCGCTATCGGCACCGCTGCCGTGACGGGAGAGCTTGCTCTGGAGGGCATGGGCAAGATGGACGAGGTAAGATAGTTGCTCACGGCCCACAGCCCCCATCCCTTGGTCACAGAAATTTACCGTGTGGCGGCTTCCTTCCTGGGAGCAGGAGAGCAATGGGGAGGAGGGAGTGAAGGGCACCGCTGAGGCCGACACCCCTTTCCGGATCTGAAACCCACGCAGGTCTGGAGTCAGTGTCTCCTGCTCCTCACCTCCCACTTCTAGCTTCCCCACAGTGAGGGTGAGGGCCCCTGAGCTCAGCTTCTAGCGCAGAGCCTGCCTGGCACCCACTGGGACCCAGAACCTGGCCCGGGCCCTGCTTACCCGGTAGAGGCCAGCAGGAACATGCACTGAATAGATGGCATCGTCCTCCAGCTCCTGGGGGCCAGTCAGCACAGTGAGCATCAAGGAGGGTCCTGCAGTGGCCCCAGCCCTGTTTCCCTATGCTCTGAGACCCAAAGGCAACTCACAGTGCTGTGGAAAGGTTGTAGCCGGGTAGTGAGCTCATCCCCAGGTGGCCCCCCAAAGGGCTTCAGGGCAGAGCCTGGCTCATACATGGAGAAGGCCTGGCGGTCCCTGCGGTGGGAGCTCCCGCCCGGCCCCATGGACGTGTGTTCTGCTCGCTCACTGGGAAGTGGAGGTGTGGGTACCGGCCCTGGTGGCTGCCGGATCTGCAAGTTTTCTGCCTGCAGCTTGTGGATCTGAGAATGCAAAATGCAGTCAGAAGGGGCCAGGCAGTGCCCCCCTGATAGGGAGGGGATGGCCCTCCCCGCCCCCAGAGGCTCAGAGGCTCAGCTCCTCACCTCCCTTTGCAGCCTCCGGAGCTCATCACTCAGGCTACTGTTGACCTTCATGAGCTGCTGCACCTTGGCCTCAGAGGTGGCTAGGGCCTTCTTCAGCTCCAGGTACTCCTGCAGCGTCACAGCCCCGTCGGACAGGTCTGAGGAGTCCATGCTCTGCAGAGCGAGACATGAGCCAGTCAGCTGCCAGGGGCCTGGTGCCTCAGAGGACTGCTGTCCAGGCTGTGACCAGCCTCGTCCTCAAGGCCCAGGCTATGAGAGGACAGAGCTGGGCCTTGACGGAGGTCTGGGGCGGGCGGGGAAGGGGCAGTGCTCAGACCCGGGCACGGTTGTTCCGAGCGGCGCTGGTGCTCCGAGGGGGTTCCTGATCGGTGTCCTCGTCTGAGGCCACGCTGTCGTAGTCGTGCTGGTCGTCGGGGTCACTCTGGCTCCGCGCAGACAGCTCGAGGTTGTCTGAGGGCACAGGCCTGTCACTCAGAGCCCAGCCACACAACCTCTCACGTCACTCCCGAAAGGGAGCGAGGAAAGACAACACCCTGCAGCAACTACTACCCACGCCCCATTCACCCCCTTCCCACCTGTGGGGCTGCTGAGGCTCTTGCCCTGCTGTCTCCGCTTGGCCTCACTGAGGATGTCGATGATCAGGGTGGCAAACTCTCGGGCATTGAAACGGGCCAATTTCTGTCGTCCCTGTAAGACAGAAAGAGCCAGGTTGGTGTGAGGCGCCCTCGTGGCTGCTGACCCCAGTGGAGGTGGGCTCACCTCAGGGAGGGAGCTGGATCCCTACTATTGGATTTAGATTGGATTTACCCTCCATCTGAGACACCCCAGGCTGCTCCCCTAGCCAGGGCAGGGGGCAGTGTATGTTGGATTCAGGGGTGCCCAGGGGAGTTCTCAGGGGAAGGTTGGGACATCCCCCAAAGGCTGTTCACTGAATGCTCAAAAGAACATCTTCCTCATTCCCAGCCCCAATTACAGCTGGACCTGAGGGAGGCTTGGACAAGAGGGCTGGAGAAGAGCAGGCTCAGTAAGGGTAGGGCCCACAGAGCTTGACCCCAGGAGGGGAGACCACCACCCCGGGCCCCCCGCCAGCCCCTCACCTGATTCCGTGTGGCTGAGTATTCGGGGTTAACAGGCAGGAAGGGTACAGCGCTTCTTTCGGTCACCAGAGTGCTGTGGTTTTGGGTAGCCAGCCATACTGTGGGGGAGGGGCAGGGAGCAGCTTGTTCACAGTGGCCAGGCCCACTGGATGGAGGGGGGAAGGTGCTCAGCACAGCCCTCCTAGATCCCCACACCCACTGATTGAGTGTCGCATGTTCAAAATGGGTGGTCTTCAGACACTCAAGCCAGGCTGGGTCAGCAAGGCCTGGCGAGCAGGCTAGGGACTGACGAATTAAACAAGGCGCGACTGCCTCCTGCCAGTCCCCACCCAGAGCCTGGGCTGGAATCTGGCTGTGGCCAGGAAGGAGTGATGCAGGGGGTGGAGCAGAGCTGGGGAGAGCGCCAAAGTGGGAGGCAGCCAGAACAGAGATGAGTCCCAGGCTGATGGGAGGGGGAGGACAGGCTGGCGGCCTCTGGCTCAACACACAGGCTGTCCTGTCCTGTCTGCTGGGGAAGCTGCCCAGGCAGACTCATAGCTGGCAAGGGCTACCTGCAGGCCTGCTGAGCAGCTGCAGACCAGGCACCCCTTCTTAGTATCAGGTCCTGGGACTTCCCCAGCAGGTAGGTACTCTTATCCCAGCCACCCAAGGCCTCTGATGCCCTGGCTCACCAGCATCATTTTCTCTTCGATCCACCTCATCATACACATCCATGGCGAGTTCTTCAAAAAGCCGGTTACTGAGCTAGAGGGACACAGGCTTTGTCAGATCAACTGGCCTCCTGTGCCGACAAGGCCAGCTCACTAGGGTATCACAAGATGTACGAAACTGCTTGAATCTCTTGTGCCACCCACCAGCCCCCATGATTTCTGAAATGGAAACTGGGATATGGGTCTGTGTGCCAAGCTCCAGGGTAGGAGCGGACAAAAAGGAGACGAGCCCTGTGAACTCCCTTCTAGCTCGGTGGTGGAGATGGGGTCCTGGGAGCTTGTAGGGGCCAGAGCCAGGGTCAAAGACCAGAAGGCGAAGAACAGACTGGAAAGGCCAAAGCCTTAGAACAGGGTAGCAGGTCAGAGGAAAGAGTAGTGATGGGGAGCAACTCCAAGTTTCTGGGGCCCATATGAGCACTCACTGCCTGCAGCTTCTTCTTGGCAGCTTTGGCCAACTCAGAGAGGTCCAGGCTGAGGACAAAGGAGAGAGATGGGAATAGGGAGGTGGCCAGGCCCCTGCCAGTGACCTCCCAAACATGCATGGTTCCCGGGAAACCACACCTTGGATGCACACGCCAGGTACCTCCCTGCCCCACCCAACCTCCAGAGCCTGTGCCCACCAGCAGGCACCATATACCTCTGAGACATGCACTTTTGCCGAGATCTAAATCCAGAGGGAGGCAGCAGAGGGAAGAACAGGACAGAGGAGCAATTACCCGGGAGCAGGCAGTATGCACCTTCCCACACCAAACACCCGGGCACACTCCAGGAACCAAGTATATAAAGCCAAACTCATCTTCCTCCCAATCTGTTCCTCACCTGGAACCCCAGCCCTAGCTACACTGTCCCCATCTACTACCATCATTCCTCTTGCCTGGGTTCTGGTTCATCTTCCTGTTTCCAGTCTTGCCCTTACAATCTTTTTCCCACTGAGTAGCCAGGGTGATCCTTTTGACACGTTCACCTACACTACCTCTGGTCTTAAAAAAAACGTTCCAATAGGTCCTCCCTGGTGGCGCAACGTGTAAGGATGCAGCACTATAAGCTGGCCACAGCTGCTTCAGTGCGAGTTCGATCCCCAGGCCCCGAGGTGACCCACATGGCGCGGCAGACCTCTCCTGAGCCGCCCGCTGCTCCCCTCAGCAGTGTACTTCGTTGATCTGCTTTTTCCGCTCCCCACTCTGTCTCCTGTGAATCCTCTCACTGCCCCTGCACCTATGGCCTGTACCCCAGTTCTTTATGTATAAATATTTAAAAATAAATATATTTATACTTATTAAATAAGTAAATCTTTAAAAAAAAAAGTTCTAATAATAACAGATATGAATGGCAGGTAACAAAAAGTTCACTTAGAAAAAAGACTAAATGGTGTGCATACGTGACTTTATTGAATCCTCTCAACAGCCCCAAAAAGATACGCATGGCTGTTTTTATTTCCTGGTGAGGTGACCAAGGTTCAGAGAGATTAGGCAGTCTGCCTAAAGCCACACAGTCGGCAAGCAGCAATGCTATGCCTGCCCCCCCACGCCACCCCACCCACGTCCAGATTCTCTCAGGCGCCTCGGTCAGGACGGCTGCAGTTCCTTTTGGGACTCATAGGACTGGCCCTGCTCTCACCTGTGTCTCCTCCAGTCTTACTCCTGGGATTCCCTGTCTCACAATATGCTCCCAATCACCGGGGCTATCTCAAGTCTTGCCACCTCATTTCTAACATCTCTGCCTTTGCCTCTCTTGCTGCACTCCCTGCCCTGGGCTACCACTGTCTGACAAGGCCATCTCGTTTTAGACTGTCAGCTCAGTAAGGGCATGGGTCGCCTGTGTCCCAGTGCAGCAGCTGGCCTGGGCTAGCATCTCACCGAGTACCAGCCCATGTCTTCATCACAAACCCAACCACATATTCAGTCACACGCCAGGCAGAAAAAGTATGGGTAAGTCCTGCAGCCTAAGAGGTCTGAATTTAGGGATCCGAAGTTCCTGCAAGGCCCACTGGGGAGCGAGAAGGAGCCTCCTCCCTCCAGATCCAGGCTGGCAGGCACAGCTTGGCGTGAAGACATGGCCAGTAGAGGTGGCCACCAGATGGCACCAGCATCCATCCTGTGAGCTGGGTAAGTGGGTGGAAATGCCTCCTTGCCTGGGTACCTGGGCCTCTCAGGTCAGTAACACCTGTGCTCTCCTCCCCCAGCCCAATTTAAACATACCACAGGCCTGGCAGTAGTCCCAAAGTGAGGCAAATCCTTGTACCCACCATCTTTTATCGAAGAACAGTGTCTGAAGATTTTTACCTGGGGTCACAGCCATGAGGACCATAACCCAGTGTTCACTGCTCCCAGGGGTGGATCTTTGTACTCAAGCCCCATGGACTTGATGGGCCTGGAGCTTAGGCTGTGCTGGGTGTGCTGACATTGCTTACCTGCCTCAGGGCCCAACACTGAAGGGTGAGGACTGGACTGTGAAATGCTTGTGCATCTAACCCCTGAGGAGGTTGGGGTGGTAGGAGGTGGGCCCTAGACCCCCAAAGCCTGGGGAATGGCAGGGGTGGAGGCTCTGGAGTCAGGTACCCAAATGGCATCTCACAGCCTCTCTGGAGAACATCAGGTGAGCACTCACCTGTCAGCCATCTGTGGGATGATGTAATGCCCATTCTTGTGATCTGAACAAAAATAAAAATGCCAAGTCACTGGTACTGGGTGGCTGTAGCTGCTGGGAGCCCACCTCACTACCATGAGGAAGGCTCTGCACCCAGAAGTGTCAGGCAAAGGGAGGAGGGTTGGCTACCCCTAAGAGCCTTGGCAGCTGGCTGGAAGTTGGACCCACCCCCCACCCCCTACCCCAACAGTGCTGCAGCCCAGAGCCTGCAGCAATTTCACAGGAGCCAGTTGCCTAGCAACACTGTTCCCCAGCTGGCTTTGTCACCATGGCACCTGCTGCTGGGGTGTGTCTGGGTCCCACCTGCCTGGCCGAGCCAGGTCTGCCTTGCACTCTGCTCACCTGGTTTGCGTCCACAGAGATAGAAGGCCAACCGGTCAGTGAGCTCATACTGGCACTCGACTAGCCTTTCAGCCAGTTCATGGTGCCCCGCCTGCCTGTAGGGCGGGGTCATGGCTCAGCACTGCAGGAGCAGCCCACCCCCCCACCCGCCAAGCCTCACCCTTCAGCAGACCCTCACCTGGCGTAGTCAATGGGTGTGCGGCCATTAACGTCAGGGGAGCCAGGGTCAGCCCCATACACTACAAGAAGCTCAGCCTGGAGCGTCTGCCCTGCCTTGGCAGCCACGTGCAGAGGTGTGGTGCCCTTCTCTGGGTGGAAGAAGTTGGCCTGGGCACCCAGGGACAGCAGGCGCAGACATGTCTCCAAATTGCCTGTCCGCACGCTTGAGTGCAGTTGCTGCGAGGGGTAGAGTGTGCAACAGGTATGTGTGAGCCTGAGGCTCTGCCTCAGTAGCTCCTGGACTCCCACCGGGTTCAGGAGGCCCACAGACGCTAATGTCAATACCAACAGCCACCAGTCTCCAACTACCACGTGCTGTGTGGTCTGCTTGGACCAGAATATCTGTGAGAATGATGCTATCACTCCTTTTCCATTTTACAAATGAGGAAACTAAGGTCTGTAAGGTTATAGAACTGCTTGAGTTTTCCCGGCTTTGCAGTAGCAGCTGGGTCATTTTAGCTGCGTGTGCCCACCGGGAGCTGAGTGGCCTTGACCACATGCAGCCTGCCCATGGACTACCGTCCCTCTACTGTGCCCACTGCTCAGGCTTGTCTCTGGGGCCTGCGGCACAGTGGTGGTGAAGAAGCCCTAAGGTGCCATGTATCAGAAGATAGGGGGTCCACCCCTTCATTGTGGGGCCCCTCAAACCTTGCTGAGGTCTTTGGCAGTGACTCCATCATCGTCCCGGCAGGGAAGCTTGTGCACAAACGCCAACATCTGGTACTTGGCCCTGATGAACTCTGACTTGATGGGGCTGCATGGAGCATGCAGGAGGAAATGGGGAGTAGGGTGGGAGAGGTCAGTCACCTGCCACCTCCTGGGTCTGTGTCACAGACCGAGAGGCCCCTGTGCACCACCTGTCCAGCCCAACTCACTGGACTTTGTCTTGGGGGTTGGCTTTGCGCCGGCCGCTCTGCACTTGTGCGGGGTCCAGCAGGGAATGCTCCCAGATGGAGTTGGCCCCGTTGCTGGCAAGCGTGTGCACCATCTGCAGGGAGAGATGCCAAGGGAGAGGGCCCATTGTGTGCTGGGCACCAGGAGAAACACCTGAGTGGTCGCTCAGACCACTCTGGTGTGGCCAGAAGTAGGGCCAAGGGACCTACTGTGTGCCAGCCAGGGCACCCAAGAACATGGACTCTGTTTGGCTCTTCAGGAACATGAGCAGGCTGAGGTCCAGAGAGGATAAGCCATTTGCTCAACGGTCTGTGGCAAGGTCATGAGTGGCTGAGCTGAGGAGGGCGCTCAGGTCGGGATGACAGGTCTGGAAGCCTCCCCTCTGTGTAGGTGGGGGGAATGGGTGGAGCGTCAGGGTGAGGCTCTGCCTGGGTTTACGCAGGAATGTGCCGTTGCCTTATATGCTGGGAACCGGTAAGAACCACCAGCTCCTTCCCATACCTGCAGCAGTGTGGGAGGCCAGGCGCTGTGGCGAAGGTGCTTGACAATGGAGATGTGGCGTCCCAGGCTCCGGTGCACACTGCAGCACTCGTCACACACCAGCACACCCCTGCTGATGGAGGCCCAGCCAGGGTCTGTAAGTTGGGGTAAGGGTCAGCCATGGTCCCGTGATGGACAGACCCCCTCTAGCACCACTCTGGGCCAGCTCGATGCTTAAGACAGGCCATCCAGACAAGTAAAAAATGCATTAATAAAACTGACCTGCCCCTCCCCAGTGGTACAAAGGGTACGTGTCAGCACTATGAAGCTATCTGCGGCCCCTGCTGCATGAGTTCCATCCCTAGCCAAGCGGGGTGACCCACATGGCTCAGCAGACCTCTTCCCTCTCACCCACTGCTCCCTGCAGCAGTATATTTTGGTCAGTCTGCCCATTCTGTTCACCACTCTGTCTCTGGTGAATCCTTTCAAGCCCGGCACCTCTGGCCTGTACCCCAGTTCTTGTGCATAAAGAAATCTTTTTAAAAAAACAAACAAACAAAAAAAAAACCTGACCTACCAAAAATGGTAGGCTAACCTAACCTATCTTTAACATGCTCAGAACACATCAGCCTACAGTTGGCCAACATCATGTAACACAAAGCCAATTTTATAATAAAGTTGAATACTGGATGCGATTTATTGCTACTATACAGAATGTGGAAAACAACATGCCCTAATTCAAAATTTGAAGCTGTTTCTACCCAATTTATAATTTTCACACCATCATAAAATGAAAAAATCAAAAAACAGGGGACCATATGTACTCCCTACAACACATTAATTCTCTTGGTCCCCAAAATGTTGGCTAGCTGAGCTACAGTGGTGGTAGGGATTTCCCCGAAGGCTGGCAGCCAGCAAGACATAGAGCTAGGCCTTTCCTTTCCTACCCATCCCGGCCCTCTGGGATGTGTGGTCCACAGGGCCTGCTCAGTGGCACAGCTTCCTGCCCTGCAGCCACTGGTGCTGGTCTCTCAGCCTTGCCCTGGGGAAAGACTCTGCTACCCCAGCTCTCCCCCTGGAAGGCAAGAGTCCCTGAGGAATGTAACACCAAGGCTACAGTCAGACATGGCACGCAACTATGACACCTGAACTGTGTTTGGGATGCCACTTCTGTCTTGGTCTGGGCTTCTGTTGGAACCACTGGCCCCCTGCTGGGAGCCCTCCACCTTTACCTCCATCCTGATAGGCAAGAGGTCTTTTCATGCCTGAACCTCCTGCCACTAATGCTGATGGAACCAGCTGGAACCCCTCTTAAGAGGGCTGGAAAAAGCAAGGAACCCCACTGACTGCGCACCGACTGTGTGCCAGCCGGACACACAGTATGCAGGACACCTCTCACAGCTGTCAGGCAGGGGGGGAAACTACATCACCCTTACTGATGAGGAGACAGTGGCTCAGAGAGGTCAGAGGGCTTGCTCAAGGTCACACAGCTAGCTAATGATGAGCATGGTTTCTGGAATGTGGACCAGGGTATTCAGAGTCCAGAGGCCAGGCCATATGTGTGACTGGTGCTATCCCTCCGTTGTTGCCCCAAATAGGAAGCCCCAAGTGGGTGAGAGGACCTGGAGGGAGTCACTCTCCACTCCTTGGGGAGAAGTAAACTTTAGACATAAAAAGGTGGGAGCTCCTGGGTTCTCAAGGGCAGGGGACATGCCACCCACCCCAGGCCCCCTGGGAGAGGGGAGGAGACAGCTGCATACAGCTCAGGCTCTGGAAAGGTCACAGGGGAGAAAGCAGCCATTGTGTGGGGGGCGTGGGGGCAGGGAGCCTCTCTCCCAGGACAGAGTGCTCTGACCAGGCCCCCGCCCTGGCTCAGGAAGCCCTGTCCTGGGGTGGGGGAGTGGGCTGGCTCTCTGCCTGCCCATAAGGCCCAGAGTCCAGAAGTGGGGCCCTCTGGGAGGGGCACACTCTGGAGAAATGAGTTCTCCCAACCAGAAAGCAATTCTCAGATTCATCCCCACAAGAACTTCTATCAAAGTTCCCAGGAAAATTTTGAGCTCACCTACAGAGAGTGTCCTTTCTACCATAGAGAAACAGGAAGTAAAAGAAGGGGCTCAGGAATTTGGGGCTGCACTTCTTTAGGAATCCCTCCCCCCAAAAACCAGGGCAACAGAGGGATACACCAGACGCCTGCCACACACCTTCCTGTGGAGTGAATTCCATCAGCCGGAGCCCTGGCTTTACCCAAATAGTGAGGTACCCTCAGACATGGAAAGCCCCTCTCACTCTCTACTACCACTGGGTCAGGGGTCTGCCCACCAGTCACCTCTGGCAGCCCAGGCAGGAAGCTGGAAATGACGCAGCCCAAATTCCTCTTGTTGAAATGGTGGGTTTCCTGTAAGCGGGGAGCCGCCCAGGCCAGGATCATAAATGGGCTGCCCTGAGGCCCGTGGCCCTACCAGAGAGCCAGGCCTGGAAAGACCAGCCAGATAGATATCCAGGGCCAGACCAGACATGGTGGGCCCTAAATAGGGCAGTAACCAAGAGACCTGGATCTGGCTGGGCAAGATGACTGAAGACTTTGTTTGGGGTGCTGCCAGCCTGGGTGGAAGGGTCCTTTTTCTCTTCTACGGTGACCAGAATTAGGGGAGTAGGCAGAGGGACACTGTCGTGCTCTAGGACAAACTGGTGCCAGCTCAGTCTAGACATACAGGTAAAGAGTGTGCCCCAACCCCATGACCTACTCCTTATGGCCAAGGGGGCATAAGGTAGAACAGGAGGCCCCGAGGCCCAACTAGGCCAACTCCTGAACAGAAGACCCAGAAAGGGTTTCTGATGGTCAAACAGCAATTGCAGCTCAAGGTTAAGGGACCTCCTGCCACCAATAGGCAATCTGGTCCCAACTCAGGGCTGAAGGGACAGGGAATATAAGGGCTAGGGGGTATGGCAACCTCAGCCTTCCTCTGGTGCCCTGCCTCTAGTCAGGGTGGGGCCCAGTCTGGGTAAATGGCAGAAAGGTCCTGGGGTAATGCTAGTTAACCTCCGTCATCCCCATGGCGGCCTTTGCTAAGTCAGTGATTCATCTCACCAGCCAAAGCCCCTCCAGTAAGTCTGATGTAAGGGCCAGTTTCTTCAGAGCTAGAGACCAGATCCTCCCTTCTAGACAAAAGGGAGAAGCCCATCATCTGGAAAGTAAGCAAGAATAATCCATGGGGACAGAGATCAGAATAGTGACCACCTTCAGGGGCACTAACTTAGAGGGGGTATCAAAACTCCCCAGAGTGATGGACATATTCTATCTCTTGACAGAAATGGTGATTGCATAGGTATATATACACCAGGCTAAGCAATAAGGTGCAGGTCATATATAGATTAAACAGTGGTGCCCCTTGTCTGCGGGCGACATTGCAGGACCTTCAGCAGATGCTTGATACCACAGATAGCACTGAACCCCATACATATTTTTTATTAAACATGTGTATCTACAATACAGCTTACTCTACAAGGTTATTTATTTTATATAAAAGAGAGTAAAGAATTACTATTAATAACATAGAACAACTATAACAATACACCATAATGAAAGTTATGTGAATGCAGTCTCCCTAACTTACTATATGTGATATTTTCTGACTGTGGTTGGCCTCAATAATTGAAACCTCTGAAAACCTCTCAATAAAAGAGGAAGAAAATCCCACCGTTCACCCCACCCCCAAAATCTATATTATGAAGAAAGAAATGAACCTGAAGGTTGTCCTGGTCATGGGCTTGCCAGTGGCCAGTACTGTACCTCTGAGGGGCCTGTGGGGTAGCCTGACAGCTGTCATGGCTCCTGTGCCTGGGGCTGACAGGAGAAAGGTTGAGGTGGAGGCCCCCTGCATAAGGAAGGAGGCAGGACCAGACAGTGTGGGGCTCCCTAGCCCTTCCCCTCTGGGGTTGGTTCCCAAGGCAGGTGGGACATAGCACCTGTAAGGTGGCCCTAGCTGCCACAGCAGTCATACTATGTCCTCAGGGCATATTCATACAGTTCCCCTGAGTGCTGGCTTAGGAGCAGGAGAACAGGGGACCTCCCTCACGGTCAGGCTGCACCTCACTTTCACCAACACAACTGCCCCCAAATCAGCCAAGCACAGAAAGGCCATGCCCCTACTCCTAGCGCTAGGACCACGGGGTTCTGTCACACGGAGAGAAGTCGAAGAGGCTGGGTTGGGGACATACACCGGACTGTGACTCTGGGCCTGGTTCCAGACTGTTGGCTCCCCTCAAGCCACTCTTACTCTGGCTACTAACAGTTCTGGGGGAAGACAAGGGTGGTCCAAGTAGCCAGCTGGGGTCCTGACAAACATCCAAACATGGGGGTACCTGCTATGTGCTGGGCACCAACTTAGACACTGGGGTGGGGTGATAAGTAAGACTTTGTCAGCACCCTGCCCCTCTCACCTTCTAACCACCTCTCTGGCCTGTATCATCGATTGGGGGAAAGAAGGCACACAGGCACAGTGCCTCTGTGGGATGAGGACCGAGGGGAGACGCTGGGCAGCGGACACGTCAGATACACACTGACTGGGCACTGTGTGGCTGGGCACTGGGCACGCAGCGGCTTCAGTCAACAACCAAACACAACACAGAGAGGACTACTGCCTTGCTGATGCCGCGCTGTGTCTCTCTGGTCCAGAACCAGGGCCACAGACTTGGCACTGCAAAAGTTCCCATAAACCATTTCTACTCCAACTTCTTTGCCCCACAGTTGAGGAAACTGAGGCACAAGGTGAGGAAGGTTTTGCTGTGGGTCACAGAGCAAGCTGGAAACCAAGGCAATACTAAAACCCAGACTCCCCACAGGGTGTCTGCTAAGCCCTACTCTGTGTGTGTGTGTGGGGGGGGGGAGGCCCCCCAGCTCGCTTTCCTAAATATGCCTGCCCAGCAGGGTGGCGGACAGCCTGGGACAGAAGGCAAGCCCTCTTCTGAGCCTTCCACCCCCAAACCTGCCTGAGACTGGGGGAAGGGGCCAAAAGTTGGCAGTTAGGAGTAAGGACATATATGCGGGTATTTCCTTCTTGTTATTTCCTCCTGACCATAGCAGGTACTGTGGCCTCAGGGTCACAGTCACCCAGAGTATCATGCCTCTCCCAGGCACCCAGTTTCCAAAT